AGGAATGCAGCTCATTTAATTAAACTACAGTGGTTTGAACAGATTAATAAATAAATATTACCAGGCTTATATTGATATCGGTTGATATCAGAATCGGAAATTAGGTGTTTGGACAATATCGACAAACGGTTAATATCGGACATCCCTAATATAAAATATATAAATATATATTTTATTTATATTTTTTATGTATATATATATATATACTGTATATATATATAATGCCATTGCTTTTTTGCAGCTACAAGCGGAATAGCACCTACAACACGTACATTGGGAAGGGCTATGTGATCCAAGGGATTGACAAAGCACTGCAGGGTCTGTGTATGGGAGAGAAACGCAGGGTCACAGTTCCTCCTCACATGGCCTACGGAGAAAAAGGAGTCGGTAGGTTTGCTGTGTAGGCCTTCCAAAAAAATGTTTGGTGTGAATTGACAATTGACATTGTCTCTCCGTTGCCTGCAGGCGACCTCATCCCTGGATCTGCTGTGCTGGTCTTTGACATTCACGTCATTGACTTCCACAACCCTGAAGACCCGGTCAAGATTAAAGTGACCCACAAGTCTCAGGACTGCGGTGAAACCAGTGAAGCCAACGACCTGATTCAGTATCGTTACAATTGCTCCTTGATGGACGGCACACTGCTCTACTCCTCGTGAGCTCCCCCTGCTGTTCATTCTGCTACACTGCATCTCCCGTCCTCCTCTGGGCTATAATGCATGTAATCATTACTGGCTCCTTTTCTGACAGATTTCCGTGGCCTTAGAACCGCACATAAACAACAAAAATCACACCAGAGCATGTATGCTTGTATATTAATATCGATTAGGGCAGTGTTGATGTGAGGAGTAATAACTCTTGTGACTTTACAGAGACCACTACGACTCCCCTTCTACCACCACTCTAGGAAGGAATAATGTCATCTACGGTCTGGAGGAGGGACTGAGTGGCATGTGTGTGGGCGAAAAGAGGGAGGTGATTGTCCCCCCCCACTTAGGACACGGTGAAGCTGGAGGTGAGTTGGAAACGCCAAAGATTGTATTGTTACAGCCTGAAATTAGTTTTGTCTGTATCTCACTCTTGGCTTAACTGAACAATCTGGAACTCCAGCTGTAGGCGTGCCCAGCAGTGCCGTGCTCTTCTTTGAACTGGAGTTGATGGACCTTCAGAAGGGAGTACCTGAAGGCTTCATGTTCATGTGGCTTGGAGACAGCCCAGACCCCCTCTTTCCTGCCATGGACCTCAATGGAAACCAAGAGGTCCCTTTAGAAGAGGTAAGCAAAGACAAAAGCAAACCTTTAACTAAGTACGAAAAACATTTCAGTGTGATCACAGTGTGATCCTTGTTTGGATTTGTCTCCAGTTTTCATCTTTTATAATGAACCAAGTGAAGGAGGGCAAAGGTCGACTCAGACCGGGGGTGGATGCCAATGCAGTCATTCAGGAAATGTTTAGTAATCAGGACAGCAACGGAGACGGAAAAATCATTGGAGACGAACTAAAACAGACAGATGAGGCGTCTGAGAAAAGGAAACGTGACGAGCTTTGAGGGGACAGTGGCAATTTTCTGAAAATGTGAAAGGAATATATATATATATATATATATATATATATATACATATATATATATATATATATATACTCTTAAAACTAACATACCAACATTTGGGCAGAGCCCACTGTCTGGGTTTTATTTTAAAAAATGTGTCAGACTCGTTGCTTAATATAAAATAATTAAGAACACTGGTTGTATGTTGGTACATGTTTGTAATTCTTTTGATAATTTGTACAAGAATGATACACCTAATATAGATGTAAAAAAAAAAAACTCCACTGTGGGACAAAAAATAAAGTTTTTATAAAAATGAGAGAGAGAATAACACATTTCATCTTTTTATTCCATTTTCTATGGAGACAAATGTACAGCTTTGAATCAGATAAAATCATCAAAACGACAGTCATCAATGACAGTTTTTTTTGTTTTTGTTAATTATTACTGACAACTAAAACCGATCACCGCGACCCTATTTGCAAAGAGTTAAAAGAAAATAAAAACCCCGACCAGAAAAACAGCTTCTGTCTATCGTCTGTATTAATTCCACTCAAAGACTCAGAGTGAAATGTGAACACGACCTTTAAATCATAAGTATTAAAGCCTGTTTACTGGCTCAAATGAGTAATTTTTGCTAGAACCTTTTGACTAAAAACTGTGGAAAGCCTCACTGTAAAAACTGTTTGTTACCATGAGACTGGATACAAGAGACAATAATGTCGTCCAGTCGTCTGTTCATCATTTGATGATCAAGATGGCTCGATCTGATGTTAGTCAAAATTTCAAGATCAACTACAGTACAGCTGACAGATACTCCAAGTTGCAGTATTAGTATCGACTCGTTCCTACTATAAACCCCAGCATCAGAGCCTGACAACAGGTAAACTAAACGTTATGTTTTCTTGAGGTAGATTCACCAGTGAGTGAGCTCCATTCTAAAGAACGGGACTTTCTATTCACCCAGATTCGTGCTCTCATTACGGTGAAAAACTGAAAGCCGTACTCGAACAATGAGAGACAGGAACCACTATGAGAACAAGTACAAGAGGTCTAAAATCAACAAGTGGAACACTTTCAGATCAAACGTTAATTGTGCGTCTTTTTTTCTCCTATATAAAAGCAGAACTGTACATAAAAAAAAAATAGTCCTAACCGTTCACTGCGTACGTACACACACCATCATGTTGTAGTGCAAAGCTGGCCTCCTGTGTACAGTATGGTCCAGAAACAACGTAAGAGAAGGACGAGTGTGTGTGTGTGTGAGTGTGTGAGCTGCACTTGTCAACAGTCAGAAGGTCTGACTGTTAAGGTGTGTTTACAAAAGTGTGTGTGTGAGTAAGTGAAACGGAAATACTTGTTAAACGTCCCTGCTTGTCAGTAACTGATGTCTTCATGGTCTGGCACCAGCCGCCTGACGGAGCGGGCGACAGACACGTGGTTTACTTGTTACCGGTGAGGTAGAGCACCACGGCGTTCGGGACGTCTAAGGTTTCATCTTTCACCAGCACGATGTCGTATGAGTCCAGGTATGACTGCTTCCTCTCCTCCACCTGTAAAAACACAGGTCCGTATGATGCGGTCAGGGATGCTAAATATTTACCTGTTGTTTTAGCAGCAAAGACTTGATGTTTGTTTAACTGGGTTTGTCAAGAAAGAACCCTAAATGTTCCTCCCCGGGAATCAGCTTGGTGTTTTTGGTTATGGTCTTAGTTGCCGTTGCTTATTCTGAGATTGGTAGACTACATAAAAACAGACGATATAGAACAGGCATGGGCAAACTATGACCCAGGGGCCGAATGTGGCCCGCCAAACTTGTCCAAATTATGTTATTAATTTGTATTAGCAGTATACTGTACTTCTGCCTTTTCGCTGCAATCCCCGTATTTCCCCATTAAATGGTGTAGAAAAAGCTAAAAGCATTTTAGCCTCTATGCATGACATTTACAGCATTTATCTTAGTTCACACGAACGCTCCATCTATCTGCTCCTGACCCGGCCCTCTTGTCAAATCTTTGGACCTATTGTGGCCCGCGACTCAAACAGTTTGCCCACGCCTCATATATAACATTAACGCTGATATTGACATCTGCTCCAAAAGCTCCATCTGTTTCACCTTGTCATTGAGGAACCCAATCTTCAGGATGTTCTCCATGTCCTGGACTCCATCAGCCATGGTCAAATCACCCAGAGAGTCCCCCATCAGTAGTACGTTAGGCCGAGTCCGCAGCTCCTGGAAATGGCCCGTGTTGAGCAGCGCACCTTCTCTTTTGTTGTAAACGTGGATCAACTCTCCCTTGAAGGCCTTCAATACTCCCTGTAACATAAACAAGGACACGTCTTCATCGACTGAAGCTGCACGTCATCATTGAACTCATCCTTGGTGGTGCTGCTCACGTCCTCGTCGAAATCCATGTAGTTGGAGAAAACCTTGACGTTGGGATGGAAAACTCCAGCCTGGTGGATCACTTCCTCCAGAATGTCCCCGATTCCGGCAGAGAAGATGAGCACAGGGATGCTGTGCTCGTGCAGGTGGTCGAAGAAAAGCTGGTAACCTTCCCTGCGGATTGAACGTAGGAAATTTAGCTCAAGGCAAAGCCTTTTCTGCACCGCAGACGTTATGAAGCACACGCTCTCACCTCAGCTTGGCTTCAGACTCTCCCACCGCCGTGGCTATCCCATCTTTCCTGATTTTTTGCTGTATCAGCAGCTCGTGTGCTTTAGTCCACCTATGACGAAGTGACGGCTTTGTAAACACGTTATTATTAACATGCAATACTGTACATTAGGGATGGCTGGATCTGACACAAAGGATCGGTCTGATGTTGGTCAACATTTCAGAATCGGACGTCAAAGAAAATCAACTGTAACCTTATATGTAATATATATATATAATATTTAGTAGGTTAAAGTACCGGTATCGAACATAATTTTTTCACGCCGTCTCTACTGTACGTCATATTCCACATAAACCATCATTATTTACTTACCACTCCACCATGAGGGGCAACTTGTCCTCGATGGACTGTGAAGAATCGATTTCTATTGGGTAGTAGGTGTTCAGAAGCTCCTTCAGCTACAGGTGGTACAAAGATATTCAGATGTACAGTACATGTGAATAACATGACATGGTGATACCCATGAAGTACAATAGGTGCATTGTCAATTTTGTTTTATATTTTGATACAGGATAAATGTGAGGTGGAATCAATGGATGCTGTTGTTTTTTTGAAGTACTACACAGTTCAGTTGGAAGTAATGATACTGTATGTCTAAGCCATTGTTCATAATCAGATCAGTTCATGTTATGTGTCTTTGGGTTATTTAGGTTAGGGTAATTAGAGGTAAGGTTATAATTAGAGAGTGTCTTATTAAAGATGTTATTTTTATGTGCAGTTTAATTTAAAGTAATTGCATTTTGCCCCAAAGCCATTAAAGTCACTGGCATTTGAAACAACAAGTAGCAAAACAATTATCATCTCAGGTGAAGCAGCGTTCTCACCTCTTCTTTGCCGTCTTCAGAGATCAGTTGGCTTTCGTCAAGTATATCTGAAAAACATACCCGTAAAATGAATTCACTCGAAACCAAGATGGGTGTGGCTCACAAGTCGATGCAACAGCGGTGGACTTACTGTGGCATGTTGGGCATCTTTTACCGTTGTACTCAAACCTAGTTAGAGTCATGTCAAAATCGGAGATCACCTGGTTTCAGAGGAGAAAGTTGGAAGACGTGGAATTATTTTTTCCAATCTGCTGATATGTTAATGAGTACAGTGTCTGAAGAGGGTTGTGGTGGGGGGGGGTCTTCTTACCTGCAGAGTGTTGGAACCTGCCTTCATCATTGACTGCAGGATTTCCTGCACCCTCTGTGGGTCCCTCATATACACAGAGGGATTGGACAACTCAGGGATCTATGCAGAGAAAATCAGACCATGGAGTTAATATGGAAAAAAGACAATTCTAAAAATGGCCACTGGCTGTCAATGGTGATCGGAGCAGAGAGACAGATATTTGTTTATGTACTATGATTTTAAGTGCCAATAAATGGTGCAGTGATTCAGGTCAAATCATGTATTGAATTTGTACATTTAAATTTGGAAATTATGTGTTTAAGGGATACTTCTGCTCACTCACATAAAACAGAACAGGAATATTGCCTACATTATACAGCCGCAGTGTATTTGATTTGTTAATGAGTGAAATATATCATCAGATCTAAAAATGACGACGTCCTAAATGTTCTAACTTCATTATTCGACAAAAAGAAAATACTGAATTATTTATATTTTATTTAACCGCTTTACAACTGTCGTAAGAGTAACAACGTTTACATTGTTCTGTCTCTGATCATTTTAATGTTTAAAGTGTTTGAAAAACAGTGTAAAAAGAGAGACTTTATTGCCTCACTAACTTGAGACATACGAAATTGAAACCCAAAAGCAAACACTCAGTTATAAAAGATAACAACACCCGTTTAAACATTAACAAACACGATCATCAGCACTCCTCCGCTGACATGACCATTCGATGACTTTCACCTTTTCCAATTCAGATTTATTACTTTACCTGTTTGAAATCATAATACCAAAAAGGCTGCGTTCCAACCTTTGGAAATCACTTCACCATGTTCATGAACCAATTACATCAGGTAAACATGTTAGCTCGCCACATTACAGTTTGTTGTACTGCGACCTGGCTAGCAAGTGAATCCGCACAAGAATAAACATTTTAGTCTTTTGCATATTCACAAAAACATAATTTTCTCAAGCCATTACCATTTCGTTAATATTCGTTGTCATTTTGTGAAGACTGGTTATACAAGTCTTTGTTAGTGCGTTGTTAATGTGTTGTCCGAGTGTCACACCAGAAGCTCCTATGCTGCCTTCCGGTGCAATCAGGAAAGAGTTATACACCGAAAAGTACAGTTCATATTATATCGAAACAAAATAAAATAGATTAACTTCACCAACAGTATCTAAGAAGGTAACGTTTATAAAATACATTTAATGTATATATTGCATTATTTGTTGTTTGTTGGAAACATGACGTGTTGTGATTTTAAATTTACAAGTATGTAACTGAACATGAAGGCGGCACGACAGACGGCATAACTTTACAGTGGCACTGTGTGCTTCCTTCCCCATCAAGCAAAAACTCTGATACAAAGTTCCCCCTTTATATATATTCACATATATGTTTAATCTAGCCTATAAGTAATTGTATTCTTGTGTTAATATTATTTTACAATTTTAAAGAAATTAGTATAGGTCAAATGCATCAAAATAATACTTTTTAAGATTACTCCAGCTGACTCATAACGTAGCCATGGTATAATTTCCTTTGTAGCATCTACCATGTTTCACTGGAAGAGGGGTGACGTTTACTGGCCACAAGCACGCACTGCAGCGTGGCATTGAAATAAAAACTATGCCGGGCACATAAGAATCCTTTAATTTGTTCACAATACAAGGAAGAAATAAATCTAATGAACACACAAAGATACCAGAAATGGAGGGTTCACATACCCAACAGACATGGTGTAAATAGAATCTGGCACAAACACAAAGGAATACAAGATTATGGATACTAAATCCGCTTTTTTTTTTCAAAGGAAGAAAAGATTAAAAAAAGAAATAAAAAGATTTGACCTTGTGAATAAACAGAGCTGATGAGGAGAATAACAGCTAAATCAGCATATGTTTCAGCAGTGACTGTAACGGATAGTAAAAGCTGTGACGTTTCATTGAGGTATTGTGTCACATGATTTTGTGAATGTAGCCATGTGATCATTATCACCCGCAGTAACGGCTTTTTATCAGGACATCTCTGATCCTATCGTCCAACCTTCAAAAACTGTATAGAAACACTGAGGAATGTTAGGAAGCCTAGTTCTACTTCATCATCTTACCATTAAAATTGTGCATTTACACAGTATATATTCTAGGTAGTGTAACAAATATTTATGATGGAAAAAAGAAATCAGTAATCTACTGGGTCACAATGACACTCATGATTCAGTCTGTGTGCACATCTTTGCTAACAACAGTGAGAAATGCAGTAACTATAAAATAGAAGCGAACCAAGGAGAGGTGGCGAAAAATAACAGAGGGTATTTGTTGATTACTACATGATATGGCACAATAGAACCAAGAGTCAGCGATTTAAAGTAAAAACATTCAGTAAAATGCCAACAAAGCCCATTGTGTATAAATATCTATACATTCATTCTGCTGCTCTGACTGCCACTGAAAACAGCGTTTTTTTTTTGCTCTTTGCAGAAATAAAAAAATTCCCTTAAACCCAACTTCGCAAAGAGAGACACCTCTCTTCCACCTTCAATATGAGTGAAAACACAGTTTGGTCAGTTAACTGTCTGTTGAGCCGCTACCCTTATTCTTGTTGCGACTGAGCGGGAATGTGGATTTGCTCTGAGGCTGGGTCATTTTGCTGGCCAAGTAGACAAAGGGTTCAATGAGTGTGCTGCGCTCCACCACTGACACCTCCCACAGACGAATCTTCTCATTCTTGGCCCAGTTCTGAGCGATGTTGGAGTCGACCCTTCTTTCGTCCTGCTTGTCCAGCTTGTTGCCCAGGACAACAATGGTCACCTGTGGAGCAGGAGCATCACATGAATGTTCATACTAACATTCATATCTATGTGTAGCTAATACAAACACCCTAACTGCCAATTGACTGCTTATGAAATGTGGGAAGAAACTGTTTCATACAGAACAACATTGGTTCACAAAGAGTTTCAATCGTCACCTCTTTCTTGTCTCGATGACGATCAATGTCCTTTTTGAGCGCCTCCATTCGCTTAAAGGACTCTTTGCTATCAATGCTGTAAACTAGTACAAAGCCATCTGCGAAACTGTAATAATGTCGAGGAAACTCCATCCCATCTCTGAGTCCGCGGGTGTCATAGAAGCGAACCTGCTCCCGCGTTCCACGATCGGTCTCAATCGAGCCAATATAGATGTCCTCCAACGTCTCCATGGGCTCTGAACCTGATGAGCATTAAACAGATGTTATTATTTTGTAACATGACCCAAAAGTTATGCACAGTGTCTGTCTGCGTTTTCCACATTTGCGCATTGTGGTCCAAATAACAAACCAACAAAGTTGTTTGTAAATAGAGATAGGAAATTAATTTCAGCTAAATAATAAAAATAAATCAAAATAATTAAACATTTACATATATGTATAAAACTGTATGTATAAAAATATACCTGCAACGTGGTTAGCATAGAGTAGTTGCTCCAAAACTGCAGTTTTTCCTACTGCACCCTGTCCACACACAACCACCTTACAGCTTTTACCCATCTTTCTCTTCACCACAGGTCTGTAAATCTGACACAAAATAATAGGGAACACAGTTTACATATGTGCAGTAATTTCTGTTTTATATATATACATACTCTCGATCACACATGTACAGTGCATAATGAACCTCTAATCTATTTTCCGAGTAGCTACTTTATTACAGGGTAGTTGCATACAGCCTAATATAGGTCTTTGAGTTAGCTACATTGTCTATATATTACATGTCAAAGTCCGGAGACACATAAAATAGAACACGGGAGCTACATATTGGGGAATTTCTGTTGTTTTTATGCCGTTTTATGACCTTACTCTATTAATTAGCATTAGCACTCGGGAAGAAAACACAGGATGTACAGACCGAACCGATAACACAAGGTGAATCTGACTTACCTATGCGTAATTATAAGAAAAGAAACATCCACGGTGTTTTCCGACCACTGTTTGATATTAATAATCTACCTATTACAAATTTAAAAGGATATCTTTATACCAGGATAGCAACTTCACTTACCTAGCGGCCCACTTCCTGTTTACAGATGACGTAACGACTGCAGTAATATGGTCCCGCCCCTTCACATTGACGGCAAAATGGCGACGGAGAACTGTGAACATGGAACTGTGAACATGGACACTGACATGGATATGCTTAGTGACGAAGAATTGGAGAGGTACTACACACCGAGGACGTAGTGTCACCAACACTAACACGCTTAGAACGTTGCCTTTTTTGTGATAAGTGCTGTCAAGTTTCTCTTTTATGTCGTCTTTTGTTCTTGTCGCTAAGTAGCCCCTCGCCGTGCACTGTAGATGTAGCCCGGGATAACGTGAAGCCTGCTTTCTAACTCGTGCGCATCGTTTTTCACCATTTGCATACTGTAATGTTTCAAAGCGGCTATTACGAGTCTATTGTTGTCATTTCGGTACATCTCGCTAATAAGAAAATATACACTCCCATCTTACAGAACAGCAGAAGCGGGATAATCAGTCCATGACACCATTCAGTCATTTGTGGTCGTGATGAAAAACATGAGGGGTTTCCAAAAAAAGTAACGGCAGTGGCCCACACCATGGTGTCATATGTTCCTGGCTAAGCTGTCTATCCTGACGTCTGCCTCCGCTGCTGCTTTAGGTCTTTCTATGTTTAGCTTACTCACCAACAGAGTCTGTCATTATTACAATCCTTCTCAGGTGCTTCTTATTATGATGCACATTTCTTAACCACGTAAAGTATTTTACAATGCTCTAAAACTGTGTTTTAGTTATTTTAGAAAAATTAACAAAACTATCTATTTTGTTGCCTTTCAAATTCAGTACAACTATCTAAAATGGGAAGTCATTTGTATTCAAGCATATCTTGAATACAATTTTTTTTCTGCGTCTTCCTCAAAAATCTTCAACATGTTGTCTTTTTAGATGGTAACTAACCCCAGAAATATGTGTTGGTTTGGTTAAACACAGTGTTTTCCCACTGACAGTGACAGAAAACAGGATGGCTGTTTCCATGAAAACCACTTTTTGTGTTTGGTAAAAAAAACAGCTTTCTCAGTAGAGCTGGCTACAAACCAAGTATGCGCTTCACCGATGACAATTAAGGTCCATTGGATTTATTTCATTCTGGATAGTTTTCCCAGACATGTTATGCCAGGGAGGCTGTGATTAGGTTGTGATTTCTACTTGAGCTAACAACAATAGAATGAACAGCGACTAGAATTTTATCTCCAGTTTTGACACTATAAATAATAACTATGTGATCAATTTGTGAGATTATATAACACGTGTCCTTTTAGTGGAAGTGAATCACTTGTCATTGTGACACAGCACACCACGACATGTGTCCTCTGCCTTTAACCCATCACCAAAGTGAGCAGGGGGCAGCTCAACCGCCCGGAGAGCAGTGTGTGGGGATGGTGCCATGCTCAGTGCACCTCAGTGGTAACTAGGCAGTTGGCTGACTCCAACATGAAACCTTAAGACCCAAGTCTTCTTCCTCAACCACCAAGCCACCACTGTGGCTAGCACCCACTGGGTGAAGAGAAACACTGAGAAACTTTGTCAGCATTTGGTGCTTCTATATTACTAAAACAAAATCCAAGGGTTGTTTAAATTATGGAACAACTCATTCATCCTGTGTTTGCATTGACGCTCATTTCAAACTTCTGTCATAATTTTATATTTGACTGTTTCTCTTTACTTCCTGTTCTTTTTTCCACAGGGAAGCAGAGTGTTTCAAGGAGCAGGGCAATGCCTTTTATATCAAAAAAGATTATGCAGAGGCCTTCAATTATTACACCAAGGCCATAGGTAAGCATTTCTAAATATTTATGTTTGTGCTTATTTAAAATTAAGATTAGAAAACACCACACACAATCTTGAACAACTGTATTCTTTCACTTTCATGAATATAAATTCCGTCGCTGCATGTCTTCCATTTTAATTGCCTTATTTTTGTCATAGCATACAGTCAGTAGTGACACTTTGAATTCTTTCTGACTTTACTTTATATTTATCTTTTATTCAGACATGTGTCCAAAGAACGCAAGTTACTATGGGAATCGGGCAGCCACGTTAATGATGCTGTGCCGATACAGAGAGGCTTTAGAGGACTCCCAGCAGGCAGTCCGGCTGGACAACACATTTATGAAGGTAGAATGAGAAGATAAAAGTTGATACATTTTTCTTTCACTGCTGATGTTAGTCTTGGTGACACAACTTTTAATGCAGTTTAATGTTAAAGTTTATTTGATCACAATTGAAACAAAAAAAACACAGTTAAAGTTTGTTCACAGGGACTGAACATTTCTTTTTTTTCTTTGTCCACAGGGACATCTGCGAGAGGGAAAGTGTCACCTGTCCCTAGGTAATGCTATGGCTGCCGGGCGCTGTTTCCAGAAAGTGCTAGAGCTGGAGCCAGACAACAGCCAGGCTCAGCAGGAGGTGAGCTGGCAGAGTGCATGATCTGCATTGCCCAGCATTAAATGCCCTGTGTCAAAACTTGGTGCTGCAGGATATTAGTTTGTGTTCAGATCAGCAGTAACATCAGTCAAATCTGATCCTGACACTCAGGTACTGTAGGCAAAAAGCTGCAGGGATTCTGATACCAGTATTTTCCCTGAAGTCCTACGGCTGCATATTAGATGACATTATCCACTTTTGGATCACAAGCTGAATTGTCACAGGTGGTATTTGAATGTTGACATTGCTTGCCAGTCTCTGTGCAGCTGAAAATGTCAGCTGTAAGTCATCGAAATAAAAACTGATCTGAGTCACCTGTTTTTGAGTCAACATCTTGTGGAACAAGTGTGAGTGTCTTAATAAGGCTTATATTTAAAGTTGAACTATTTTTTTATCTGGTCTTTGGGTCCTCAAATTGGTCAGTGTGTCTAAAAACCTTTTACGGTTTGTTTTTATTTACAAGAAAACATAGTAATCTGTTTACTGTCACAGAGAAGCAATAATAGAAACGGAAAATTTTAATTTTAAGACATCACGGTTGTAAAGTGAGATTTTTTTTTCATCCTTACTGAAAACCACAATTTCCTCTGGCAGGTGAAGAATGCAGACTCTATCCTGGAATATGAGAGAATGGCAGAAATCGGGTTTGAAAAGCGAGACTTCAGGATGGTGAGCTGCTCACGGGACGTGGACCACATTTTTAAAATAATCACATACACATGTGTTTTTGTGTGTTGTAAATATACTTAACTTTTTTTTTAGGTTGTCTTTTGCATGGACCGTGCCTTGGAGACGGCAGCAGCCTGTCACAGGTTCAAGATACTGAAAGCAGAATGTTTAGCTCTGCTGGGACGATATCCAGAGGCTCAGTCTGTAGCCAGGTATGGAAGCTGCATGACTTCATTGAACACTATTGACTGTGTTATACTGTGTGTTGTTTACAAATTTTGGAATTGTTTTAAGAGAGAGGCTGCAGACATTTTGTGACTTTTTTTTCATGAGGCTGCAGACATTTTGTGACTTTTTTAAAAATCATTAATCATATGTCCATCAGTGACATTTTGCGGATGGACCCCACAAATGCCGACGCACTTTACGTGCGAGGCCTCTGTCTCTACTATGAAGACTGTATCGACAAGGCAGTCCAGTTCTTCGTCCAGGCCCTGCGGATGGCTCCTGACCACGACAAGGCTCGGCTAGCATGTAGAGTGAGTGTTTTAGTTAAATAAAACCTCAGACATATGGAGTCACATTTTACTCATACCATAGAAAAGCTCAAAGACTGTTCAGGAAAAAGCTTCTGAAAATAATTGTATTGTTTTGTTTTGTTTTTTTACAGAATGCCAAAGCACTTAAAGCAAAAAAAGAGGAAGGGAACAAGGCTTTTAAGGATGGGAACTTTGAGGCAGCCTACGAGCTCTACTCTGAGGCCTTGACAATAGACCCCAACAACATCAAGACTAATGCTAAGCTGTACTGTAACAGGGCCACTGTAGGCTCTAAGGTGAGAAACACTTTATGGTCTTAAGTTAAACTTAGATATGTTTTTTTAACCTTATTTCACACAGTTGCCTGGATGGTATTACAACCCTATCTTGATGTGACTCTCTGTCTATTCTTATCTATTCATTTAAAATTTTGTTTTAGTGGGTTAATAGTTTTTTTTTAAATTTTATGTCATATGTCTGAAAAGTTTTTTGCAAACTGGTCACATTCAACATTTCTGGTTAAACCATTGTCAACAAATGTTTTTTTGCTGTATTTGTTACATGTATTTGTTATTTGCTGATAGTTAGCAATCTAAAAAGTGTTTACATCCAGACAAATGTAACATAAAAGTGTTCACATCACCATGTATTGACTAGCATATCACATTAAATTGCTGTTTAAACCAGTGTTCACTGAGATTAAACTGTAACCAGGAAACTAACACAGTGTTTTTCATCTCAATCTGGTCCTCATCTGTTTCTTTTTCTTTTTACTTCTACAGCTGAAGAAACTAGAACAGGCCATTGAAGACTGCACCAAGGCCATTCAGTTGGATGAGACGTACATAAAGGCTTATTTACGGAGAGCACAGTGGTGCGTCTACAGTCTGCTCACTCTGATCTTAACAAAAACACTGTGGCTTTTATTCTGTATAGTTCCGAAACAGTAACACAGTTGTGTTGTGTTACAGCTACATGGACACAGAGCAGTACGAAGAAGCAGTGAGAGACTATGAGAAAGTTTACCAGACAGAGAAGACAAAAGGTGAGGACACGAGCCCAGAACTCAGACGTTGCGATGTACTTTTGTCTTGATTTTTTTTTTAACTAAATCTGGGGCATTTTTTGCTATTTAAAGCCCATCCTGCTGTGCATTGACTTTTCTCTTTTTCTCTTGTTCCTTTTTTCCTCAGAACACAAGCACCTCTTAAAAAATGCTCAGCTGGAGTTGAAGAAAAGCAAGCGGAAAGATTACTACAAAGTGCTCGGCGTGGAGAAGAACGCCACAGAAGACGAGATCAAGAAGGCTTACCGCAAAAGGGCGCTTTTACATCATCCAGGTCTTTTTCTTAACTCAACTCTGTCACACACATACATTTTAAGTAATTATAATAATGAAATAAATATATAATCCTTCATGACTTTGGTACATTGCAGTATGTCTTTTCTTCTTCATGACTTCAGATCGCCACAGTAGTGCAAGTGCTGAGGTGCAGAAAGAAGAGGAGAAGAAGTTCAAAGAGGTGGGCGAGGCCTTCAGCGTGCTCTCAGACCCAAAGAAGAAATCCCGCTACGACAGCGGTCAGGATCTGGAGGACGACGGCATGAACATGGGAGGTCAGTGCCTGGGAATACTGGGGGGTAGGAGTATTCCCTGATACCGGGGATACTTCAATAATGTATTTAGGGTTAAGACTTTGAATATTTTTGAAACTGCTGTTGTGAAATTATCAGTGGTTTTGTTGATTCTCAGTTATATTTCTTTTGCCAGATTTTGATGCCAACAACATTTTCAAGGCCTTCTTTGGAGGACCAGGTGGTTTTAGTTTTGAAGGTATTTACATGAATGTTTGTTTTTACAAAAACCACTCCGACTGTGAACGCCTGTTGTTGATGTCCCCTGTCTGTCTGTCTGTCTGTCTGTCTGTCTGTGTGTTTGCAGCATCCGGACCAGGAAATTTCTTCTTCCAGTTTGGTTAAATGCAGGATTCACCTTCACCAAGTTACTTCAGCAGCGTCAACCTCCCCCAGTCCCCCGACCCACCATCCGTATTTAATGACTGGCCACAAAGCCAGATTCTTTTCTATGCCATAGACTGAACGAATGCAACCCAATGTTGACCACATGCAGCATACAATGAAATCCCCCCACTGCTGGAACGCTGGGTTAGCCGAGACTGCGTTGATAGTGTTACTGGTTTTGGATTTGGTTTTGTTCCGTACAGAAAAAAACAGAAATACTTGAAGGTCAGTAATGGCTAACAACACTGGTCCAACTCAGAAATCGTGCAGCTATTGTTACAGAGCTTGTAGGGATCCATGCAGGAAGTGATGCCCCGGGGCAAACTCTCAAGATGCTTTTGGCAAAAAAATATTATCCGGCTGGTTTCAACCCACTGCTGTTGTGGCTCCGCCCCCTTGTTAAGAATCAGTTTGGCTGCTGTGAAGTCGCACTGAAAACTGCCTCCTTCTCACACGCCAACACATCACTTGAGCTTTTTTTATTATTATTTGAATTTATTTTTTAATTCACTAACGTTCGGGCTGAGTCCTACATGTACAGTACAGATGAAATACTCATTGGAAACTAGTGGTGGAGGCAGCTGCTCTGGCTTTGTTGCCAGCAAAAGTCCCTTTGTTCTCGTTGTCACAGGTTTGATGTCACCACAGAATCACCGATTGCTGCAGTGTACATTTTACTGGAATGTAAAGTGTTGATTTGTGATAATAGTTGATATTTGTTTTTTGTTTTTTTTTTAATTTTGATATATATATTTATTGTAAATTTGCTGTCGGATAGAAGAACGGGCTGTAAGATCAGGACACTTTTTTGTGATCTTCAGGTTTTCTCTGAGCACAACGATAGGAAGATGGTCTGTTTAAAACGTGGCGCAAACAAAGATAATGTCCTTATGGCTCGTGACCATGAGTCAAACTGGTCAAAGTAACGGATAAACACAGGAAATTAAAAACAAAAAAAAATTAAGTGATTACAGTCATCGATTTCTTTTAATCAAGCCATTTTTCTCCTCTTGCACTCAGAATAAGGAAAGCATCGATCTCTTTATTCACACTACGTTTGCCCTTAGTGAAAACATCCTTTCTTAAACCTCGAAAACTTACAGCCGTGTGTAAATAAAGCTGGCCTCCTAAATTTCAGCTTACCGTCTCAATTTGTTTTGGTCAATACTGCAACAAAAACATCTTTTGATTGTTGAAATAATGCAAGGTAATAAAGAATGTATCCCTCATATCTCTGAAACTTTGACTTTTTCCAGCTGCTGGGCAGATGTGGGTCACACTGGGATTATTTGGACCACATGGGACATTTTTTTTCATCATGTCAAAAATTAAACTAAACTCAATCTTTTAGTGTTTAATATTTCACAAATACAGTATGAATTATTTTCAAAGAAATAAGGTATCGTCTATAAGTCAATAGTGTGTATTGACTAACTGTTACTGTGCAATTTAATGTCATTAATTACAGTGTTACACGTGCGTTTCCTTCGTATGAACGCTGTTGCTAATAAGAAAATGATCAATAGGGGTCACTGTTTCCCCTCTTTCTTTCGTCTGTTTGTTTGGGTTTCTAAGATACGGGTGATGTTCGCGTCTCTGTTGGAATTAAATTCCTGTAGCAGGTCGCTGAAAAGTTGCATTAAAGTGCTTCGAGATGTCAGAAACAGACGGGGACCGTAATGGAGTGAAGTCGAAGGGCGTGTTTTCTACGTTGGTGGCCGACGGGAGTTGGTTGTACCTGAAAGGAGAGTATAAAAAGGCCATAGAGAGTTACACTACAGTGAGTACCCGCACAGTACACGGTTAGCGGCCGGTTATAACACAACACTTTACTAAAGAGCTGGAACTCAACATTAATTGTAATATTTCTTTGGTTGTGTAATTTAAAATGGAGCAACAGAGAGTGTGTATATAGCTATGCTTCCTTTCGTGTCACACAGGAGCAGCAACACTTCTGCATCTAAATCACAACCAAAACATTAGCATTTAAGCATTTCACAATCACAGTCCCAGTTGTAGCATATATGCTAATGTTTTTAAGTGATTTTTCTTTCGCCCCCTAAAATCTTGGTTATTCTTTCTCCAGGCTCTGACTCTAAGGCCCAATGAGAAGAGTTGTCTCATTGGCCGCTCCAAGTGTTACCTGAAGCTGGGGCAACATGAAAATGCCTTAAGAGATGCTGAAGCTTCACTCAAAGAAGACAAGACATTCTTTGAGGTAGAAAACAAACAGATGTCATTCACTTGGGAATAGAGTTGATCTATGAGAAGCACACAGCTGTCTTCTTTTTTTTTTTAGGGATTACATCAGAAAGCAGAAGCTTTATACCACATGGGAGAATTTGAGTTTGCGCTGGTTTTTTACCACAGGGGACAAAAGCTTCGTCCACAAATACAGGAGTTCAGACTGGGAATTCAGAAATCACAGGAGGCTATAGAAACCTCTGTTGGTGGTACGTATAAAGTTCTATCTATCTATCTACTGTCTATATCTGAATATCGTCCTTGTGTCTCAGGCTTAGTTTTTTGTTTTTGTTTTTTATTGTACAGACCCGTCGTCTATTAAACTAGAAATAAAAGGTGACCTTTCATTTCTCCAAAAAGATGAGGAAGTGAGTATTGTAAGTCTTCCAAGGAAAACTTCTCTAATCCATGATGTAATTGTAGCCTAATCTGCTCTCTAAAATAACTTTTTTTTTTTTTTTTACAGCGATCACAGCCTTTAACCACTGTTCAGCATCAACCAAAGGACAATAAAACCCGAAAGGTACCTAAGAACAAAAAGACGACCAAACAACTGCTGGGGGAGTTTTATGGTGACAAGCTTTATCTGGAAAACCTGATGAAAGATAAAGGTACTGTGTGATTATTAAATCAAAACCATCAAACCTTGTTTTTGCATCGACCATTTGTCATTAAAATGTGACCTTTTGTCATTTTAACTTGGATTCAGACTTGGTTAAAGGCAAGACGAGGGGCGGGGAACATCTGCAGGACGTCATCCAAAGCTGCTTGACGTATCTGGACACGTGTACCGAGTTATTGATCCAAGAGAAACCTGTCTGCACGCAGGAGAAAGACAGAAAGCAGGTGCAGCCAAAATGTCAAAGATCCTGTTCCAGTGCACCCTCTGATCCTACGCGGTTTCTGTTGAAGAGCCTCAATGAAATCGACGCAGGTCTCTAGCATTTTTGCCAGTGGTGCTAGCGTGCATGTCACAACTGGATCAGTGCTATTCTTGACATGTGTATGTTCTCAGAAATGACAGCTGGAAATGCGGCGGTGAGTCTCAAGAAAGCAAAGGATATCTTGACGGTGGTAGAAAGGTGGTCAGAGAAAGAAGTACCTGATAGGAAAGAGATACTGGGCAGCCTGCACAGCTGCATTGGAAATGCTCTGATAGACCTGGGGGATATGGACGCAGCGCTGCAGCATCATCAAAAAGACTTGAAGTTGGCAGAACAGAGGTGAGAACCGCAAGAACACGACACGTACGATTGCCAGTGTCATGTTGTAGCTTGAGTTTTATCCTTTGTTATCAATTCCTAGAAGCAACACGGAAGCTACATCCAGAGCTCTGGACAACATCGGCAGAGTCTATGCCCAAACTGGACAGTTCACCAAGGCCATTGAGTTGTAAGTCAATAATTAACTGCGGTAAATTTCCAAAGACCAAGTTTTTTTATGTTTCTTGCCTCTAGACCAGACCAAGGTACTCCAGGTATACTTAGCGAGAAACCTTTTTTTTTCTATTTGCCTAATAAATAGATTCTGAAATCAGACACTCCGCTCTTACTTTGGGAAATAATCTGACAATTTCCCTTCTTTATTGATCATGCAGCTGGGAAAAAAAGATTCCACTTCTACGCAGCGCTTTGGAGAAGACCTGGATTTTTCACGAGATCGGTTGGTGTTACCTGGAGCTTGGTGACTACGAAGAAGCCCGAGACTACGGCTTGCGTTCGCTCGCTGTCGCTGAAGAAATTGGCGATGAGAAGTGGCAGCTAAATGCTAACGTGTTGGTGGCACAATCAGAAAGTAACTGTTTACTGTTACTTTTTTCTGTACTGTGCGGTTGTCAAGAACCTACACTTTAACCCTGATTGGTCTACCTTTTTATTTTCAGTGAAACTAGGACTCTACGAATCCTGCGTCAGAAGCTTTGAGAAAGCCTTAACCTGTGCTAGCCTAAAGCAAGACCACTCCGCCATGAACGCCATCCAGAAGGTTCTCACTTTCTTGTCAACCTGTTTTACTTTACCCATCATCACAGGAACGTTTGCTCGCACTTTGGCTTACTGACATTTACACTTCTTCCTTTTAGGCTCTGGATGAAGCAAAACAACACGTGTCTGATTGAAAATGACTCCAGTCGAGACCGAAACATCTTCCTTTGACTGCTTCCTTTAAGGGTCACCACAGTGATCTTCAGGATCAATTCTGGGACTAGTACCCTTGAGGGTCATCTCAGTACCCTAGTTGTCCAAGGGTCATGACAATGACCCTATGATTCAGGCTTCAACAGAGGTGTGTTTAACATGTTCCATTTTTTTCAGTAAAGATTTGTAAAGACAAGTGATTGGAATTTTTATTTAGATGTCTTTACTGTGTGAAAAAAATCCCACTTCAAGAAAAAATGCAAAACTGTTATCACATTTTTATCTTGCGCACCCCCTGGCAGGTTGCGCACCACACTTTAGGAACCCCTGGTTTCTGGTAACATTATCAAAGGGAGGTAGATAAAATTGAGAAACTGAAATGATTCATTAGTTCTTCAATATAACACTGTAAGAACAATACAGTGAAAATTTATAGAACAGAGTTGTGCGCAAGTCTATTAAAAGGCACATAGTTTATACAGTAAAACAGTAATTACCCCTCAAATAACCCTGTACCTAGTACATAACAAGACAAACAGATGACTGCTGCATTCATATCGCTCAGACATGCTACATTAATGAAATTCTTTGTTGGTTTTGTGATGTTACCTCGCGAAGCTGAGAAATAAATTCAAGTCGCTCAACTATCAGTGCAAATATTTGGTTATGTCCATCGCTGACGGAACATTTCCTTAACGCTCCCATTGTACTGGTGTCTATACAAAGCACGCTCATAATAAAATGTGACTATCAGATCTATTTATGTTATATCATATTTCCAGTTGTGCACCACTTTTGTTTCCTTTAGTGAATAACTACAAAGTCAATAAAGGAATATATTGACACAAAGGAAATTTCACAATTGTTACAATAATTGCATCGGAATAACAATGGCATGGTTGAAAAATGATTTTGGAATGCAAGTCAAATCAAAGGAAGTTGTCTTTATTGAAGGAGCTTTTTAGACGATGGATTGAGAAATCATTCCATATAAGTACCTGGCCTTTCTTGAGTTCAGTCTCACTGTGTTTTTATTGTAGTTTGGTTCTTTGTTTTCTAGAGATTCAATAAGTGTACTGCATTGCGTAGCTAACTTGTTTTTTTGAAATATTTGTATACATTTCCCTAGTTATTTTAAGGAAAAGTTTACCTGAAAACAAGGACAAGCCGAAAGGAAGAAGATTTTAAGGAAAGGTAAGATGACTAAAGGAAAAGGAAAATGTCACATTTGCTGTTCATAACGTATGTAAAATAAATTCAATATTTTTCCACGGTGAACCGTCTTAAATAATCGTGCTATCAATATCGACCACAATAATCATCTTTATTATTTTCTTTTCTTTTTTCATACTCGAGCAGCCCTAGCGGTCATATTGTTTAAAAGACGAATAAAAAAAGGGGAAGTTACATTTCCCACTGCTGTCCTTGTGCTAAGTAGGGGCGTGGTCGTGACTCCGCCCTGTTGGCGCGTTCCCGGAAATTTCCGTTTGTTTCCGCCGCCTCTTGAAGAGTGGGACGGGTGCGTGAGGAGGATCTGCCTTGTCATTGTACTCTGGAGAAACGCGTGGTCAGCAGCTGAGAAGGAGAAAGGGAAACAGAGGAAGACATCTTCAACCTTCTGCTGCAGCATATTATCGGTAAGCATGCATTTTAGCAAACCAGGAAAACCTTACACCCGTGTCCACAATTTGTCCGTTATCACATTTGGACTCCGCCACCAACCTCCTCATTCAGCTTTCCCTCTTGCATGTAGTCACTTTTTTACATCCCGAATCTGCCACAGACGTGGCGCCGAATTAAAAGAATTTAAACGAACGCGGCTCTGGACACAACGCTCTCTATGTGGCGCCTGTGAGCGGTTCTCTTCGTGGACTCGGTTCAACAGAGAAGCTCTAAAATTTTCGAATTTTTCTGCTTAAATTTCTGCCTTTTCGACCAATTTTCATCCACGCCTTGACACTAAAATGCTTTGGCTTTTTCCAGTGAACTAAAGAAGCGGTATGTTGAGTTCAAGGTCCCCCGAAACACACAGATAACTCCACTCTAAGTAATGGCGCATTTAAATAAAGCTTAGCAAAACGACTAAGAACAAGCTAAATTTCTTCCTTTTATGCATGTTACAGTTCTTGTCTGGTCTCAATACTTGGTTTGTGCAATTTGTTACTTATGGTCTTTATTCTTTTCTGTTTTTACAAAGACTTTACGCCATTTACGCTTCCTCTTCTGTCTCATGACAGGGTAGGGTTTCACCAAACATCTGTTTAATACCAGCCTTTATTTAAACAAATCAAACCCGTACGTTTGACAATTGTAGTTTCAGCTAAAACCAGAAGAGGTCGCTCTAAAGCGCCCCAACCCCACTTTTTTTTAGATGCCCCATTTTCTTAACTGTCCTTTGTCTTAGTCTGCTCCTTATATTTACCGTTTTTTGTTTCCCCGTGTCATGTTTGAGAATATCTTTTTGCAGACAGAGATGTGCTTCATTGTTTCCGTTTGATCTTTATCGATTTCATTTTCATAAAACAAAAGATAAATGTAGTTGTCTCTCTACCAGCCTTCTGCCCCCACCCATGACACATGCTCAAGGGCACAAACCCAACTGCAGATGAGAAATTCCTGTTTAAAGAAGGAGATTGTGTGAAGCAGCATATTTGTCCGGCAATGGCATGCAGAATACTGCAGCTGAAAAAAACAAACGACAGTTTTCGATCGGTTTTGTTGAATATTAATGTGCCTTATTCATGTGGCGGTTGACTACAGTGAAAACCATTAAAGTTGCTGTGGTATTTTAAATATAGTTTCTGGTTGTGTTTTCTTTTAAGACTTCAATTATCTTTGCGTTATGGGACAATAATGACATCATTATTCTATAACGATTAATAGCTTAGTCGTGAAAGTAATTGTTGCTGCAGCTCAGATGTCATTATAAACCTGGTCTCTGGAAACATGTCTTCAACACAACTACTGTCTCTGTCCTATTGAAGATTGTTCATATTGATGACGCATTTCATATTGATATTTAATACTTTTTCTTCCTTGAAGATGGCTAGTCTGAGTGTATTTAAACTTGACGATTTTTACATTGATTGTTTTTTAATTTTATTTTTTTTATTACTGTTTTGACAGCCATTGTCCTCTCTAATGAGGCTCTTCCTTATTTATCAAATGTAAAGTGTCATGCCTGGTGACCAGCAGCTGTGACAAACTCTTTAGTCATTAGGGTATAGAAAAGGAAGTGAATTTAATTACACAAAGTTTTCATTTCACCAAGAACCTATAATATTCAAGTGTATTTTTACACCAAATATAAAGGTTCCTGTCTGTCCTGGTCTTGTAGAATTATTGTTTGTAACTATTGTGTGTGGCTAAACAAAGTGGCTAAGATGCAGAGACTGCACAATACTGAAATTGATGAGATATATTAGCAATAAATATGTAAAAAAAAAAAAAAACTTTTTTCATTTTTACCACTGATTGTCTACAAGTTGTTTGGAGTTGGTGTTAAATGTTAAAGCAAGTCTCTGCATGTTTAGATGTTGTCCCTGTTTAGCTGATGCAAACGCTCTTGTTTTTCTGACAATAGGTACATGTTGGTGCACAAAGGAGACTTCTAGTCATGGATACTGAGAAGAGTGGTGAAGCCTTGAATGCGTCAGAGACTCCACAGACAGAGGAGACAATCATGGAAAAAGAAGTTATTTCAAACGTGGAGACACTCGCGGAATCCACGGAGTCTGAGAAGCCACCAGCTGCTGCTGAAGAGACGGAACAGCTGGCAGAGAACGGTCACGACACAGAAGTCATAAACATCGAAAAAAGAGAAGCGGCTATTGTGGTGGAAAATGTGAGCTTCACTGAGGAGACGGCAAATGGTAACGGCATTCCCCAAGGCCATTCTGATCCGGAGGAAGTTCCTGCTCCAGTGGTGCAACCAGAACCAAATGAGTTGACTGAGAAAGTTTCCGACCCCGTTGCAGCTTCAGCCGTGGAACCAGAAACCATTATACCTGAACAACGGCCTCTGCCAGAGAATGCCTCAGAACCTCAGCCCACACC